ATTCCACCCTTTACAGCTTTGGTAAAGCTCTAGAAAAGTGGAAGAGTTTCACTCCTCTAAGGAAGAAGGAAGCTCAAGCAATGGAATTGAAAGACATGAACAATAGAAGTAAAAGAAAGCTAGTCACATTTGGAGGGTGGCTTCCTCAACCATGAAATGGAGAGTTGCTTCCTGAATCAACATATGAACTAACTCCCTTGATACAAGTAGATATAACATACATCTAACTACATGAGTGGGAGTCCAAGCCTCCATCAAGTTCTTGACTAGTTCTTGGTGTAGTCTAAGCCTTACAAACCAATTTCTAGTCTTCTACAAGAACATCCTCCCCTTCAAAGGCTCTCCCAAGGGGAGTATTTATAGGTAAGGAGGAGGGGGAGACAAGGGAGTGTGAAGGAATAGTGTATGCCACCCAAGTTCAAGTAAAAAATCAACTACTTTATAGCCTGCTAGTGGTGGACGTTCGAACGTAATTTGGCATTTGAACGTTGTCTATGTTTTTCCTTTACAGACGTTTGAACGTTGTATGGTATTCGAACATTTTTGTTGTTTTTGATTTGTGGGCGTTCGAACGCTAGATGGGGTCTGACCTCCTTACTCAAGTGGTCTGTGGTCTTTTGTGGAAACCCATTTCCACACTCCATGCATATCTTGGCTCTTTGCACTCATCACTCTAGTCTTCAATCAAATCAAGTGGACATTCAAATGTGAGTTGGCGTTTGAACATGGTGCTCAAGTACTTCAGGGTCTTCCTTCTTGACTGCAACACACCATGTCTCAACAGTCTGGTATCCTCATAGTTCAAGTGGACGTTCGAATGTGAGTTGGCGTTCAAACATTCTTGCTTTGTTCCAACCTTCTCCAATTTTGTTCCCTAATGCACTCGTGTTACACTCAAGTGTGATATTTGTTGTTCTTGAGCCTTTGTTCACTTTAGGACCTAAAATGTCATTACTTAAACTCCATCAAAGTACAATTAGTCCCAAAAAGGCATAATAAAATGCTAATTTTAAGCAGTAATCAGAGCACACTGAGGGGATAGGGTTTAAGCCCATTCAGTCATGAGCCACATATGAGGATACCCAACCCAGGGACCAAAGATCTTGAAAATTGGGTTTAATGGGAAAAATGAACCATATGGTGTTAAATTATTTATTTATCGAAGAACATATCCCTGTGGTGTGAGTGGATTTATCCTGTAATGTATGGAGGTTGTGTTGTTAAAAAACTCTAAATGAAAACCTGTAGCTCTTATGAATGGGGTGTCAGAATTACATGAGCACTCTTGACAGATTTCACCTATATGAGTGCTAGATTCCTATAAGAATTGGGTCGATTCTCAAAAATGCTCACGAAAATTGGGATGGACACAAGGCCATAATGTGTCAGCTAAAGCTCATACCAACACCTGGATTGTTATGTGTGAATCATAACACTTTATTTCCCCTAAGAAGTCATAGTTCAAGTATTAGACCACTTTGGCTCTAGAGTAGAGGTTGTTGTTTCACTAAGTGAAGGTTCAATGCAGAGCACACTTTCTTGCGGCATAATGATCCCTCTTTGGCTAGTAAGCTCTCTTTTACATTGAATTTTTAATATTAAAATGAGTGGCGGAATGCTGGTACATTTTAATAATAATATATTTCATTATACCAATAATATTAATTAATGGATTCATTCATCTATATGGATACAAGTATCGTACTTATACATGAATATAATTGGATATATTTATTCATGATTGTTAAACATGAATTATATTTATGAAATGCATATATAGAGTACATATGCATGTATACCTACATACATTTTTGTTCATCATGTATTTAATAAATACTTGAATCATATATATTAGATACATGTATCTAACTTATATACATGTATCTTATGTATATATGCAAGAGTTGACTATAAGAACTCTCTAGAAGGTTCTTAGAACCTATAAATAGGATCTCTAAAATGTGCATTTCAATCTTTTTTAGCAACCATCTAACACTTAAGAAAATAATACAAACTTGAGATTTAAGGCCTAAAAAATGTGTTCTTATTGGTGCAACTTTGAACTTAACCACTTGTGTAGAATTGGTTCGAGTCATATGATGAAATTGCTAGACTTTTGTATCCTAGAGGGAACAAGTTAAATGAGAAGGTCTACAACACTAGTAGTTTGGGCTTTGCCATTTGCAGAGGGCATGAATCTCCTTAAAGAGAGTAAGATGTTCACGCCTCAAGATAAATTATTTCGTGTCAACTTTTATTGTTTTGTACTTTGCTTCTCAATTTTATTGCAATATCACTAATAAAATATGAGGTGGTTTGTGCTTGAATTCAGTAATGGAAGAGGTAAAGATGCAGAAAGGGAAGAATTGTGTGCCTCTGTGTGTGTGTGTGTGTGTGTGTGAGAGAGAGAGAGAGAGAGAGAGATAAGTGGCAAAATGGTGGTGGATTTTGTGGGTCTTGTTATGTCTTGTAACCCCTGTGAAAATTGGGGTGGTGACTTGGGTGTTGTAGTGGTGGTAAATATGGGTAGATGGTGATTGTGTGCTTGGTGATGGGTGGTTATGCCGAGGAGCTGCATTATGTGTCTATCCATCCTTCTGGGTGGATGGTGGTTGTTATGCTTGATGGATGTTTTCTTTTTAATTTTTTTTATTTGTATGCAGTAGTTTATTATAAGAACAATACTGAATGAATCTTATTTGTTGACCTTATTACTCTTTGCTATTAGATTGACAGTAGACCCCACTATTAATTGGAACTCAGTATCAATTCAATGACTATGATATATCATGTCAACAAATAATATCACTAAAATTAACTACAAATAACATTTCCCTTATTATAATGGTAGATCTTGGATAGTTGAAAATTTTCTGATAAAAATATTATAGTTTGACCATTTCTATAACGTTCTAAAATCTACCCTAAAAGACATTACTATCTATAATCATTCATATTATGAGAGCAACTAAAAAAATTCATAAATAAAAAAAAATCATTAATCATCCATGTCAATTAAATCCAAAAATTAAATAATATCTTGCACCGAATAAATGAAATATTATCCTTGACATTGTCTCAAAATTAACCTCTCAATCAAGAACATAAAAAAAATAACTCTAAGCATCCACCTTAGGATCCACGTTCCCAACCATTTGAGCTTCTCTATTTACCTACTAATCAAATTTGAGTTTGTAGGGGGTGAGCACTAAGCTCTGTAGGAAAATCCTCCCAAACTTGAACAAGGTTTTGAAAACTTATAAAATTGGTCGATCTCATTTTACAAAATATCATATATAACTTTTGAAATAAAACAGTGACAATTCATCATATCTCAAATTTACGTAGTAGCAATAAATTAAATAAAGAAGCAAAACCAAATTTTAGATAATAAATTATTACCAACACTGTATCTCAAGTATATAATAAGAATTAGCATGAATACACACATTGAGAATATCCTGACTCACACACACACCCACACCCAATCTTCACACGAATACACAACTTTAGGAAGGGCGTATGTCGACGCATCGGCAGTGACAAATCCAACTTAGGAATTATATACTAGCCCTCAACCTCGATACCCATGAGCGAATAGTGGTTTGGTCCTCGTAAGGCACCAACCCTGTTACAAGTGGTAGGAAAATCTTCAAATCCACTTGAAATAAGAAACGAATCTATCTACTCTACAATACCCAGTCAACAGTCATCCATGTTCATCAAAACATCCACACAAGAGATACAATACCAAAATAATTCACCAAATCACAGATAAACTAAGAACTATAATTCCACATATATTTTTCCTATAGAACAACTTAAGAAAATATGCAAAAGATCGTTAAGAAATATAATTTTATTGTTCGAATTAAACACTAGAGTTTTTAATGAAGAACAATGGAATATCAAGGTAAAATCTATATTTCTTGAAAACTAGGGCTTTAATAACAAGAATGAGAGTTTTTATGGCTATGAAATGACAACCTTATTCAAGACATGATATGATTTGTAAGAAAATCAGGAAACAATAATTTTCATAACATATACATACGATTTAGAATCAAAACACACACACACACACACACACACACTAACCTCAATGAACAAGTTTAGAAAGAAATCCCCCCATTAATCTTGAGATTTTGATCGCAACGTGTTTCGTTACGATTATCCCACATTAATCCTTCAAGATTTAGCCTGTTCTTCTTCTTTTTCTTCACCTCAAACTTTCCTAAGATTCTTGGGGAAAAATAGATAAAAACTTTTACATCACGGCCCTAGGGTATTTATAGGCTAAAAAATAGAGAATTTCCATATGGGCGCAGGTAGTAATCTGCCCCTAACTTCTAAATCGATTTTAACCTAGTTAGAGGCCGATTTACAAAATTTTCGTGAAAGACACTTTTGTAGTCTTTGAAGTTTAGTTTCTACTATAAATATTTCTGGTCATCGGACATTAAAGTAAAAATTTATAGCAAAAATACTAAGATTATGTCAAATTCATTTCTACTCAAATCATCTTTAAAATAGGATTTAACTCTAGAAAACTTCTAAACTTTTAAATGCAGCTCATATAACATCTTTCAATATTTTTCAACCTTTCAGATTCAATAGAAACCTTATTTTTACCTAAAAATAGTTATAAAATTACTTAGCCTCTCTTTTTAAACTTAAACATCTTGAAAAACTCAATTTACAAAATACGCTTGAAATTCAAACTTTAGAATCAATATTCTAATAATGATTTTAAGTTTTTACCGTCGTTTTATTCATCTTAGTAGATTTTTTAAGATAATATTATTCTTATTTAATTTTAATATAGAGTCTTATAATTTCTCAAATGGATCTTAATGGGCATGTGTTATACCATTTCATATTTATGGAATCTGGTCGATTTAGTGACAAATTTCGAAAGACAGTGAAAACTTTTTTTTTTTTTTTGAAGTATGGATAGTTCTCAAAAAAATAAATAAAGAGACCGCAGCTTAGCCGGCAAAATGCTCCGGGTCCTGCACGTTTTGTCTAGATCGCCTTTATCCTCTTTATTATTCACAGCACAAAGGCATGACCACCACCATGTACTTGTAGCTGCAACTGCAACAGAAGACCTCTTCGTGTCCTTGCTAAGTCAGTGCTCCAATGCCAAACACCTCTATCAATTCCACGGTTTCATGGTTCCCAGAGCTCTCGATCATGATAACCTCCTCCTCGGCAGATTCATCGACGCCTGTACCGCCCTAGGTTTCGCAGACTATGGCTATTCAGTCTTCGCCCACAAGCCCCAACCAGACATCTACCTCTACAACACCATGATCAAGGTCAAGGCGCTATCTCATCATTCACATTCCGCCAAAGACGCCATCGATCTTTACAACAAAGCTCTGGTGGCTGGCTTACGACCGGATTCCTATACCTTGCCATTTATTTTGAAGGTCGTAGTTCGTCTGTGTGCAATTGAATTTGGCGGAGAGGTTCACTGTCTAGCAATTCGTACCGGCTTAGGCTGTGATGTTCGTGTGGCCGCAGCGCTTATTCAAATGTATTCGTCTTGCGGGTGTGTTGATGATGCTCGGAAGGTGTTTGAGGAAATGCGGTATAGAGGCTTGGCTTCATGGAATGTAATGGTTGTCGGCTATGCCAAGGTTGGTGATTTGGATCGTGCACGGAACTTGTTCGAGCGCATGCCCGTGAGGGATGTGATTTCTTGGACAGCTGTGATTGCAGGTTATGCTCAAGTGAACAGGTCCAGTGAGGCAATCACCATGTTCCGTAAGATGCAGCTTGAGGGTGTGGAGCCTGATGAGATCACCATGCTGGCTGCACTATCTGCTTGTGCCCATCTGGGAGCCCTCCAATTGGGTGAGTGGATATCTCACTACATCGATAAACACAGATTGCCCAGAACTGTGCCTCTTTACAATGCTCTTATAGACATGTATGCAAAATCAGGAAACATAAAGAAAGCAATAGAAGTTTTCGAAGACATGAACTCTAGGAGTGTTGTGACTTGGACAACTATAATTGCTGGATTGGCATTAAATGGTCGTGAAAAAGAAGCTCTTGAAATGTTTTCTCGCATGGAAAGGACTCAAATCAAGCCCAATGCTGTCACTTTCCTTGCGGTCCTTTCTGCTTGTAGCCATTTTGGATTGGTTGAAATGGGTAGCTGGTACTTGAACAGGATGGATTCGAGGTATGGGATCAAACCAAAGATTGAGCACTTTGGCTGTATGATTGATCTACTAGGACGAGCAGGTTACTTACAAGAGGCGCGAGAACTAGTTAGGGAAATGCCGTTTGAAGCAAACAGAGCTATTTGGGGATCCCTTCTTGCTGCATCTAGGATCCATGGTGACGTTGGGCTTGGGGAACAAGCCTTGCAACATCTAATCAAGGTAGAGCCACATAATAGTGGAAACTATTCACTTCTATCAAATTTATATGCTGGGTTTGGTCGGTGGAATGATGCAGGGATTGCAAGGAAGCTGATGAGGGATACTGGTATTAAGAAGGTGCCAGGGGGGAGTTCCATTGAAGTCAATAACAGGGTTCATGAATTCAATGTAGGGGATATATCACATCCTCAGTCTGAGAGGATATACAAAATTCTATCTCAGATAAATGGACAGTTGAAGATAGAAGCGCATGTGCATGGGGAATGTTGGTGGCTTCAATATTTTGCTCTCCAAAACGATCTTGTGTGAAACTAACCTAGAGTACTAATTATAGAGCATTGCAACATAATTGACTTGGTTATACCTTTCTTGGACGAAAATACTAAATGCAAATTTTGTCAGTGGCGAAGGTACTTTACTTGAGGTATGCTTTCATCTAATTGAGACTATCAGGCTTGCAAAATCATGAAATTTTTAGCTATCTCAGTGATATGGTAACTGTTTAGATTTAAGATCACATAGTGCACTTCCACCGGACATATGGGTTGTTTCTGGAGTTACTGCTTCATCAAAGTTTTCTATGCCACTCAGTGAATAGGAAGGTGCCCTGTAGATCTCCCTTTTGTAAGCTATTAATAATATTAAGTCAAGCATTGTGTTTATCCCCTTTCTTGTTTGGTCCCTTACATGTTCTACACGACGGTTCTTTAATTCATAGTTTCAAGAATAGGCAAGGTGATATGGAAAAGAAAAGCAAACACATGCTTGTCTCTGTAGTTGACAGCCATTATATTATAATCCTGTGGAAAATTATATTGTTCTGAAGGTCTTGATCATGTATGATATTCTGCTCAATTTATACAGACATAAAATTGGTCAACAAATTCCTTCAGAGTTGCCTAAGTCAAAGGAAGGAGTGTTATAGCATTGTTGATTCAATCAAAGATGACAGTGTTCCCAGACATTAAGTTCTGTCTCTGCCTATCAAAAAAAATTAGTGGGAACAACAATGCTGAGCTACTTCCTCATCAACATTTTTACATACCCTCCTACACACTCTTTTTTAAATTGGTTATGTTCATCTTCTATCCGATAGATTTCATAATGACGTCATAAGCTGGTTAATTTAACTTCTTCTTTTTTTATTATCATGCATTTTCCTTAGGTAATTACCGTAGGAACCTGGAATCATATACAGAAAGTGGATCAGTTGCAAAAGTTTTTGTATTCCTTTTAGCCCTAAATTCACCCAGATTGTCTATATATAGATGTGTATATAACACTAGAGTCTAAATAAAACTAGCACCTACAGACATACAGAAAAATAAATGTATAAGTACATGTTTGCATGATTATTGCTGCAGTACAGCTTGACATGCTTGCAAAAGCTTGGTTCTGTCTTCTTCTTTCCAATGGATTGCCCAGCTATATAAGGTCGGCACAAAGTTTCAAAAGACAATATAAAATAGCGCTTGAATATGTCATGATGTGCCCATGCCCACATATTTACGTATACATGCTATCTTGAATCATAATATTTGATGGGAGAAACTTGTTTGCCAAAGACAGAATGATGTAGAGATCAAAGTTTTAAATGACCTGGACCTGGTCGGACACCTGTATGTGCTTCTTTGGTTTATCAATTTCAGTGAAAGTCTGGACGCAAGGATTATGAGATTGAGATCATGAAGGGTTTAGCATTCAGGCTCGGCCAACGTAGATGGTAAAGGTACTGTGAATAGCTTGATAGTCCTATCAAAGCATTAAAGCATAGAAGAAATCTTGCCCCAAACCCAAGCATTCGACCCAATGCAAGGAGAGCACTAGTGCATAATGTGTGGATTTTCTGTTTAATGAGATCACATATACCTGATACAATGCGAACAGAAAATGAGGTCCCTAATCCAATTTTCATGATTATAAGAAAACAAAGAATATTTTTGGGTATGGGGATCTTTTTTTTTTTTTTTTGGGGGGGGGGGGACAACGTGGAGAAAGATACATAGCTTGGAACTCAAATTCTCACCTGTGTGTTGTGAATTTTCATGTGATTCAGAAATGCGCATACTAAGATAATTCTAGGCCATAGACATGGTCATTATGGTCATTTTCATCCGAGGCAAAATGACTTCTGGTCCAGCTGTTCAAAGCAAATATCTCCAAACCATCTGTTTCAGTTGTTTTAATTTTCATAGGCATTCCATGAACCCCATTATCATCTTTGTTCTTGGTCAATCTGTCACACCAATTACATGGTTGAGTGAAATTGTGGTCTCTTATGCTCAATTGGCAAGTCATGTATCAGACCTTGTGCTTGCATCATTGTTATGCTTATGTAATCCCTGGTGTGGGAGTTCTTATTTGCAAAATCCTCCAACAAAGTTGGTATTAGGTCAGTCTGCTTCTGTTATGGTGCTTCTTTCTCCTATCCTCATCTCAGCCAGTTGCTTTATTTCATCAATGGCCCTCTCTTGCCTTGAGAACTGATAGTCGTCCACTTTCTCATCATCCAATGAAGTCAATATTTGACCTTTAAGAATTGTAGGGAATTGTTTGTGGTCCTATCTCCATGATCCTCACTCGCAATGAAGTGATCCTTTGGATGATTTATACTCGGTAATTTATCCTGTTCCGGAAGAACATCCATTTTGAGATCATATGCTGATGTGTCTCGGCTGTATTGTGTTTCATTGTCTGCACCACATTTTACATTCAAACCCACAAAACAGCTAGTTCTTGAAATAATGCTTTCTGAGTTATGCTCAGGCATTACCTTTATGGGGAAAGTCAGATTCTGCACGATGAGATAATGCCCTTCTCCTTCTTGCAGGGACCAAGTCTTTCTCTTTTGATGGTTGGTGATCTATTCCAGATTTTCTTCTACCGCAAATTTTGGGCCTCATAAATCTCGGTAACTCTGATGGGGAAACTACTGTAACATTTGCTCTCTTTTCCCAAGTTTTGTTGTTGGATTCTGGGACTACAGATAGATATGTAGCCTCCAGCTGGTCACTGGAAGATGGTGTGGTCCTTGTAAGGCTCTCTAATTTCTCATCTAACTTTCTGATTTCTTTTCTGACTTCGTCACACTTATATTCCATCTGTCTCATCTTCTGCTGCAGATTGGTCATTGCTGCTTCCCAACAGCCCAGCTCATTGGTTAATATTGAAGTTCATAACTTAGATTCAAAAGTGACGGGCACTATTTCTGCATCTGGTGACTGGGTGAAATGTCTGAGATGGCAATCCTGGAAAGTTACCCTCGTAGGCAGTCAAAATTTAGTTGCTAGAGGTTGTGCTTTAGTACGGCATTAATCCTTTAAAAGCATTGCACCCATTTTTGAAAAAAAAAAAAAAATTAAATCCTTTAACAGCACTACTTTATGGATATATGCATTTTGACAGACTAAAAGGCTTTTATCCATGTAGAAACTCCTCTCTTTCCGGTATGAATATTAGAAACATGTCCAACCCAAACGGTCTCTTGCATATCAAATTGACTGTGTAGGATTTGAGTGTACGGACAATCATATGAAGAATGCATCTATAGATAATGCGCTCATTGATGTTGATTTTCGTTAACTTTCTTCAGTCTTTTTTTGCTGGGCCTTAATCCAAGCAATAAGTGACACATTGGTGTTTAAAATTCTATTTGACATGCCACTTTATTTGTAATTTCATTTTCGAGGTTAAAAAAGAACCATTGGCTGGGTTTAGTTTAGCGATCCCTTTTCAAAATATGTTGCAGGCTAATTAGTTCAAAATCAGAATCATTATTTGTGCTCGGTTGTTATAAAGAAATTCCAGTAAAGGGCTGGACATCACAATGTATATTAACTAACAGCTGATTCCTCATTCCCTAGGTGACTGCTTCTCACCCGTTTTGCAAAATTTAGAGAGCATACTGCCTCGTACAAATCTGCTTTGGGGGCTGACATGGACAAGCATCAGAGTTTTGGAATCCTCTCCTGAACGTAGAAAAATAAAGATAATAGCAAAGAATTTAAGGTAAATTGGTATTTATGAATAAGGTGAAGAGTTGCTATACGTGTGACTGAGCATCCTATGTTATGATGCTGTCCAGAAAATGCTCAAGAAAAAAAAAGACCTACAGAAGAGATAAATTAAAAGCTCATGCCTTTTTCGTTGCAAGGGTATTGGGCATAAGTTGGATGCTCTAAGAAGCTCAGATACTCATCACCAAATAAATAAAAAACAATTATGCAATTTTGAAGTGAGAAGGATGTCTTGGAACCAAATTTAGTGGGTTTTGAGTTATGCTTTATGTTTTGCTTAAGGTAATACACGATTAATTAATTTTTGCTTCCTTTTATTAGTGATGGTTTTGTGACCCAAAGGCATAAGTTAGCTGCTTAAGTTGAGAAGCTCAAAGATGTGGAATAGTGATTATGGTGAGAATGGTGAGTGAGTGCATAATGAATAGTACAGCCTGGAGGCTCTGTAGTATGCTACATGAAGCTCAAGGTAGAGGTAAGAGTTAGGGTATAAGGAAGAATACAAAAAATACAGTGGTTCATAAGCTAAAGAGTTTAACTAATTCACTCTAATAGAGTCTCTTGTTACTTGGAGGATTTTGTATTACTTGGGGAAGAAGATTAGTGTTACAATTGTTGAGATTACATTCGGTCCTTTGTATGCAAAGATTATTTCTTGTATTTATACCCACAGGTGGGGTGGTCCTCATAGTATTATCATATGGTCCCCAAGTTTGTTAAGATTTTATTAGAGGATACTTGGTCGTTAGAGGCTTATTCCCTAGATGTGACGTGATATTTTAGAACACACTGAGGTGGCATCATGACCTATCTCCGAGCCTAGATACGTTGTGAGCTTTCATATCTATGAGACATCATATTGCTTAGGATGACCTCTTGTTCTTTTGGACAACTCGTGAATAAAAGAGTATGATCTATACCCCTGAGTTGAGCTAAAAATACCAAACTTTCTCGTGAGATAGTTTGGACGAACTGGATAGCCTTTCTTGAGGTCTTTCGTGAACGACCTCGATACATTTGCTGGAGGTTAGATATGCAGCTGAAGGTTGGGGGTCAGACTTCGTTATTGAGCCTTGCAACAGACGAGGTCTTTAAATGTCCTTATACTTATTTTAGATATCATCAGTTGCCCCCAGTCCCAAGCTCAACTTGCCTGTCTTGGACGTAGATTGGGACTAATCTCCCATGCTCTCAGATGTTGCTTAAAGCAAGTCCCTAGTGCCTTAGTTAGTTGAAGGACGTGATAGGGTGGTTTTCTTAAGATTACAATGTTGTGTAGGCGTGGGGTGCCGGAGGCAACTTGTTTTTCAAAATTTTCCACTTATATCGCACCACATGGAGAGGCATATAGGCACATTTAATGTGCATGATGCGAGAGAATTGCCAAAATTCTCACTTTGTCGAAATTTCTTCAAAATCCTAAGTTTCTTTCTCTTTTTTAGACTCTCTTAGCAATCTCTAGAGTGTTAGATTTGAGAGAAGTTGATCAAAGTTTCAGGCGATTTAGGAGGTTTTGGGCTTAGGGTTCCTCATTGTCTGGCGCTTGTCTCTTTGGTGTCTAGGTTCTTCGCCTTATACTTTCCATCTTTGTCTTCTAGGTATGTTTTTCTTGCTTTAAGTTTCTTTGCATCAATCCTAGATCCTTTTGATCATTGGTTCCCCATTTCTTGGACCCTTTTGCCACAACTTGGATTTTTGTGCTTGGTCATTGATGTTTAGATCCTTGCTCCATTGAGGATTGCTTCTTGAGTATCTCTTAGGTTGATTCTAGGTTAGGTTACTTTGTACCTCCGAATATAAACATGTTTAGGTCATCTTGTGCTACTTGGTCTTCCATTTATTCTACGTTTAGGGATGGAAAAGAGGATCTCGAGGTCGAGTCTTTCCCTCGACGAGGGGTGATTGACCTGAAGGAGGATCAGGAGCCTTTTGCTTAACTATTTCCTTTGCTTCCCACACGAACCCAATTATTATGTATGGCTTATAATGAATGGTGAGTGTCACTCCCATTCAAGCTCATGCAAGATACAGAGAAATTGTGTGTGGATGAACAAAAATGTGTGTGGAAATGCAAAAATGCTCTCCAAGCGTAGAGAGACCTATAATGTCGTGTTTTAACTTGGAAAAAGTTTCGAGGTCATCTCCTCAGGGAAGGTCAGGTCAAATGTTTTCGAAAGTGATTTCTAAAAAGGAAAAATGAAAAATATTATAATTTGAAGTTTGGTGGTTTGTGTTTTAAGAAATATGAAAGTAAAAAGAGGGTTGGTTAATAGAGTTCATTCCAATGGGTATGTCAAATAGATTCATTCCATTCATCCAATGGTGCGTTGGTGTGTGATTGATTCATAGGAAGCGAGAGATGAATGTAGTTGCTTGGACAAGAGCATATCCCGTGACAAGTCTACGGTGTATCAAAAGCCTATAACCACATTCATCCAAACTCAACCTAGTCAAACCAAACACTTTACTTTATAAGGAAGAATGGAAGAGAGTTGATTTTACATAACCAAGAGAAAATTCCTCTTGGATTAGCCAACTAAAGATTTAGCTACTCATAATAAAGGTAAGAACAAGCATGAAAGAAAAAAACATGGTAACAAAATCAAACATAAACTTGTATTAATGTAAGAAAGAGTTTAAACTACAAAAAAAATAGCATTCACACACAAAATGTAAAGCTTAAAGAAAAAAATACACAAATACAAGCAAAAGAACTAGTACACCCTAGCTAAACTCAATATATCTTGAAATAGAAGAGATTAATGTGCTAGAAAGAAAGATTACTTGTAGATTGAAGCTTATAAAAATGAAAATAGTGAAGGAAAAGCAAAAACCCTAGGTTTCTCTCTCTAGAACTCTCTTCTTCTTCCTTGGAACTTCCCTCTAAAAGCTGAAAATTATCTCTCCATTCAAGTGTAAAAATTCATTCATCCCCCTCTCTATCCTATTGGGTAAGACAAGTTGCTTTAGGAAAAGGTTATCCAAAAAGGCTTCCAAAGTCAGTCCAAAGCATGCAGTCCCTTCCTTTTCCAACCACTCTCTCTCCTATCATCTCATCGTTACCCCTTTCCACTCTTTCACACAAATAGGCAAAATACAGGGGTTATAAGGCTGTGGTGGAGTGTTGAAATGGTCAAAACATTGTTTAGATATAAAGGAGTGGGGCCTTGTGGCACATGGAGTCATGGAGAAAGTAATTTGAGATTTCTGGGCTTTAGGTACCGGTACCAAGTGATGAGATACCGGTATCTCAATGGAAGTAAGCTCAGGTATCGGTACTAAATGATGAGGGTACTAGTACTTACTTATTCTTCAATTTTTTGAAAAGCTGAGGTATAGTGCCAAGTACCGGTACCTAAATTCTAGTAAGCTCAGGTACCGGTACCTAATGTACCAAGTATTGGTACGTCAGTTCCAGTAAGCTCAGGTACTAGTATCCAAGGATTAGGGTACTGGTATCTACCTTGCCTTACTGTGACTTTTCTGCATTTCAAAGTCCCGAGCCATTTTACTTGAATTTCTTTCTTGCCCATTGTCCTAGCTCACATTGTAAAGTGATTAGCACCTGTATTTGCAATCCAATCACCTGCAATCAGTACATTTCTCCATTAATCTCTAATTTAGGCTAATCTCAATAATGCATAACAAAAAAAAAGTTAAAATGAATGTAATAACGCCATTAAATATGCAATATTCCATACTCATCACCTTTGCCTATGGTAAATCATGGAGGAACCACTTCTCAAGAGGAGGCTCCTTTTTCGGATCCTCCTCTCCTTCATGAGAACTCGCCTGAGGTGGGAAACTCTAGCTGGGGTAAGAGAAAAAGGGCCCCCAAGAGAAGGGTTCCCAGGCCTACCCGAGTTGCTTCACCAACTAAGGTCAATACCTCGAGCAGATCTAGAGATTTGAAAGGGTCAATTGTAACTTTGATCCAGAGCCATGTAACTTAGTGCTAGCTTTTAGTCTTTGGTCAATCTTTACCAATTTCTTGAGGGAGTTGTGGTCAACCCCTTTCGAATATAGATCGTTTTAACGTGTACTTGTCTAGAAAGTCCTACTTCTTTGTCTCGACCTTTTAGTCAGATCTTAGGCTTCATATGCATCCCTTCCTC